TGCTTTGGGATAAACAATCATATTGAGTAGGAAGATGGGAAAATGTCACTGTTGTGCTTAAATCTGTGTTTCAAACAATATTTTATACCGCTTGTTCTCTTTGCTAATGTAAGTGGATAGGATGCTATATTAAGATAATGGTGTATGATTTGACCTCAGATAACTGACATCTTATACTATCATCAGTAAAGTACTACTTCAAGGATCAGTGAACTCTAGCTCCATTTTCCAATATGACAATTTGACCCCTTACAACATTCATTTTCCAGGCAAAAAGAACTAAAACAAATATATTGAAATACGAAGATAAACCCGATTGGAGCATTGTTGCTATAATGTTGACATAGTTTTGTCCTTCCCATTTCCTTTGTCTACTCACCAACATCAAATGAAGACTGTTCTTTAAACATCCATCTGATTTTCTCTTGATTGTTATTTTGTAAACAGGTAGACCGATGAGCAAGATGGCCATTGCCAATGACTCTAATATCCGCAATAAGAGAAAAGGTGCTGTGATGGATGTAAAACTGTAAGAGTGCTCTCTCTATATCTTTCAGGCTTTTGCTTTTGGATGTAATCTCTGGTGTAAATATGCTTTGCTTGGCATTTGGTTCAATCTTTGCAAAGCTTTAGGCAGATTTGGGTTAGAGAGTTTTTTGTACAATGCAAGTATTTTTGCTGCCCCCTTAGCTTTTGGGGATGGTAATATTGAATCTTCAGTGATTGTTGTTTTGTTCGATCAACGGACGTGCTCGACTTGGGAGCTTGCAAGGACCCTATATTTAATAATGTATCAGCATTATTGTCAAGTAGAAGAACATATAATGTGAACCTATTTTATATTTAAATGGCATTTTAGAGATAAGATATCGTCTTTATAACTTATTCTTGCACGCGACTGATATGCTATCATCTCTTGGTAACCCTCACATTGTTATTTTACGGGTCCAACTGAGTAATCAGTTTGGCGATATTTTAACCCAATTTTGCATAACCTCTTCTTTCACCTTCCATTATATCTTTTTTGCCCCTACTCCTTTTCTTTTATGAGAAATTTCTCTATTTAGGAAGTGTAAATTTAATGATCTTTATTTTCTATCAAAAACGTATGAAATGCTATAATTTGCTTCTCATTTTGTGCTTGGATTGAACTCAGAGAAGATATTATCATTTGCTTGCACTGGTAAATTTTCTTAGCTTGGTAACCCTAATATTATTATTTCATTTGTCCAGCCAAGCAATCCCTTTGGTAAAATTTCGAGCCATCAACCTTTTCTCTTTCCATTTTATCTTCTGCTTCTTCGCCTCTCTTGTATGAGAAGCTATTCTCTGATTCAGGAGTTGCACAGGTCTTGTTAATCTTTATTATCTATTGGAAAACCCTGAAAATGCTGTATAAATTTCTAGTTTTTGTTTTGTACCTTCGAGTGTTGTAATTACTTCTCATGTTTGAACACCTTTCAGAAAATAGTGTCATTTGTGATATTTCATTTCTTTGAATGAGATTATCGCTAACAGATTGTTGTATATCACTGTCCCTATCGTATCTTCAGTTGATCTTACTGCACTACAAAAGCTAAGATTTAAGCCTTCATATTAGATTCCAAGCTCCGCAAATCTAAATTATTCCTTCATATTTGTCACAATTACCTATCAAGCATATCCATCACCACTGTAGGATCGTGCAAAATTTCAAGTCGGATACGCAACACTGACTTGTCTTGAATCATTACGCTCATCTTTTACACTAGAGTCTAGAGATATATGATACGTATATCCCGAAGACATATATCTCACTATACACATCAAGGACATATATCTCACTATACACATCAAGGGTCGCCTTGCCTTATCGCTTATCAAATGATCACAGATCTTTATACTTGTAACATGCACCTAACCTTGACAGAAAAAAGGAAAAAAAAATGATCCATACATGCATTCCAAAAATATATCTCACTATTCACATCAACGGTTAGATCGTCATTATCCACGATCGAAGGGTCACAATATCTCTGTACACCTATTGAGCATGCACCCTAAGGCGGAGAAAAGCCCCGTGGTCCATATACGCCAAAAAAAATACACCTTACCATACAAATCAGCGGTTAGATCGCCCTAATTAAGGGTCTTTGTGCATCACGTGAGCTTGTATCCTGGACTTGTCCCACAAGCACAAGTTGGCGATGAGGCCAATGCAAAGCATGACCGCACTTTGATCACATCTCCCTTGCACCCGCAATTATCCCATCCTAAACCCTGAACTTGCCCTGCCTAGGATTCCCCCTTGGGCTTGGGCCCACGAAGTGACTTGAGAACGCGAAGCATTGGGTTCCCTTGGTACTTCCCCTCGGCCCCCTTGTCTTGTTTGAGCCCAAGCAACAAACTTATTCGCCTACTAAACATTGATCACATGTAGTTGTATGCCTTTCTGTTAAACTCCCCTTATTTCCTTTGATGAACTTTTGAGCTTAGAACTAGTAGATCTTAGGGGATTAAAGGAATGAAGGAAATGGCAAAGGGAAGCAATTGTAGAACGTGGTTCTCTTTGGTGGGTCATGAGATCGAGTTCCCTTTCTACTCGAGGGAAGCCATGTGATGTGGCTGCTTAGTTGGGTGGATTAGTGTTCATCTCTTTGCTAATTAGTAAGTAAACCAAGAGGAGAAATGATTGATCTCCTTACTGTCAGATGATAACCCTCGAGCCTCATAATAACTTTTGATTTTTGGTGTGTAGTGAGATAAACGATCCTACTGGGCATAAATCTTATTGGGCATACATTTGAAGTGGATTTACAAAAAGGAAAAAAAAAACAATCATGTTGCGTGAGTACAACCTTCGGTCCATAAAAAGGCTCTCAACCTACAAGAACTTATCAGATGCATGAATGCGATAAAGATAAAGAAAGTTCTTAATTTACTAAGACTATATACGCGGTTTCCCCCGTATGAGTGCTCTAACAAATGTTCTTTCCTTGTACTGTGATTTCATCCTTTTCTCTATATAATTACGGACACTTTTATGAAAAAGAAATATAATCTTATGTAGTCGTAATCTTGCTTTTTTCCATCGGCGTGCTTCAAATTTGTAAGCGCCTTTCTTTGATCGACTGTGCATTTTCCGCTCGATGAAGCTTCTTGTTGTTGTGCGATTTGTATCTGAATTAATGTTGCTCTTCACGACACGTCCCCTGTAACATGATTACCATATGATAATACAATTATCTTAATTTAAAAACCACACCACTTATCATTAACATATTATTTTACAGTATTAGATCACATTAACCTTTTCGCCCAAAAACACGCCCATCTATTTCTTATAATCCCACGTGGGACCCATCTCAGCTTGTAAAGCTTGCGTACTTTACACTAATAAATTACCTCTTTCATGAATGGTTAACAGCCCGCCACGCTCACCAGCCAACGTCTCGGATCCGCTGTTGTGTCCGGTTACTTTAATCAGCACGACCGCGTGGCCACCCGCTCTCTCTTTTCCACGTGGCACGCAAATGTCAGTTCATCAACGTGTTTCCTGTTTTTTTTTCTACAGCGATCTAAGATGGCAACTTAAGATAAGTATTCGCTTGTTTATCAATTTGTACTCTCTTACAGCCCCGTACAAGACGATGCGTTGCCCTTTAGTAGTTGATTAGCTAATTTAATTGGGAGGTTGGTGATTAGACTAATTGAGCAATTAAATAATTAGTAGTTTAATGATGAATACTAGTTGTCTTATATGGCTGCTAGGAAATTGTAGCGCTTGGGAACTGTTCACATGGGAGAAGAAAAAAGTGACGGCGGTTGGGATCTTTGAGGGATATAGATTAAGTGGGAAGGATTGAGACAATTAAAAAAATCATTAGAATAAGCAAGAAGGGTCCGGGGTTTGAATGGGTGATTAAGTTAATGAGGGGTGTAGCAAGTGTATTAGATTAGTGATTTCCATATTTGGAAAAGAATACCATAGATGGAGGGAGAACATGTCACGTGACCTAGTATCAATTTTAAATTGGTGCACCCGTTAAACAATATCAATGTAATCAATAAATAGATGTATAAATAATTAAAATATTAATGCAATCTAAATATTATGTCAAAACAATCATCAATTTTAAAGTATATACTGAGAACCATGTAACGCTCTACATTTTATCCAAATGTGGAGCAAGGACTTTAGGGCCTTAATTATTAGGAAGAAAATGTAGAGTCTTGTAAAATTAAATGGATAACTTGCTTTTTGTTCATTTTTTGCAAATCACGTTATGGCATGGTGTAACTTAAATTAGCCATGCAGGTTATGCTTAAGTAGAGTATAAATTCTGCCAGAACGATCCGCTTGCAAGTGGTTGTTTTGGTATGTACAGGCGGCTGTCATTGCCTCCTATTTGCTTTTGTATGGATCGAAACAGTGTACTGTTAGGACGTAATCTGTGCAATAGCTCTTGTTTGAGTAATAATAAACTCTCGTTTGGTACTAATATTTGTTTGAAATGATATAGCACATGTGAAAACAGGTATACGAATGTTACTAGGCGAAACGACGTGAAAGTTAGTATTTACGCTGATTTCAGCCTTAGAACCATCGATGGTCAAGGTTCATCGATGGTGTATAGTGAACAATCACAAAATTTTATATTGTTAATTTCTAACCACTGATGGCCTATAGTGAGCCATCGATGGTTGTGACCCCGTCAATGGTGTACAATGGCCAATTGCAGATTTTTAGAAATAGGAAATCAAATTATTGATAATTTACAAGCATGTATCGATAGTGCTAAGGGTTTGCGAGGAACCATTGATGGTGGCGACAAATTTCGGCGGATTTGAAGAGCTAATCACAACCATCTGCTTTCATCTCGAATTTCCAATATGATTTAGATATCTCTTTCCTGATTTATTAAACACTATATAAGACTGAAAGAGATAAAATTTGAGTACAGTTCTAGAGTTTGGAAAAGGAGAGCATTTGGAGAGAATTTTTAGGGTCTATGAGAAGAAGTTTGTATTGGAGATTCGAACCCTCGGAGCCTCAAGAAACTCTTTCACGTCACGCTCAACATCTATGGATCGTCTTAGTGAGAGGAGTTGCCTTAGAACTCAATATCTACATCATTCTTTATCGAACTTCGCTTCAATCTTTTGAATAACTGTTTGTTAATCAAAAGGATAGTAAGTCTTCTGATTTTGTACTTAAACTATTTTCGGCAGTTTGTTCCAAACTTTTTTTACGACGTACTCAAGATGGTGATAATTGAGGGTTGGGACTAGCTACAGCTAGATGTTACTCACTATAGAGAGTTAGGTTAGACAACTGATTTTGGGTAGATTTCAGAGTACGGTCTTTGTAAGCCTACTAAATCAGGTTGTGATTCAGGAGAACTTCTAACGCAGTAAGGAAGCTCCTTCGTGAGAAGGAGAGTAGACATAGGATTGTTATCTAGCCACTGTAGAAATCTAGCATGTTCATTGGTTGGTTTTCGGTTTGGTTGTTCGCTTTTATTTTTCTATTTTTTGCTACATATTATATGTTTTAAGCAAAAACAGTAGCAAAACATATCCCCCCACCTCTAAGCGTGCATCTCAGATCTAACAAGTGGTATCAGTGGTTCATTACCCATCTTTAGGATTCATAACATAGAATAGGGATGCCTAGTTTGAATGTCGTAGTGGCTTTTTTGAGGGACACGTTGTGAACCGATCTCCACTTTTTGATGGGACAAACTATAACAATTGGAAAGCATGTATGAGGGTCTTTTTTCTTGTTATCGACCGATTATGATGTTTGGAGTAGTGCAGAGAATGTTTGTAGTGAATCTAATACTATTGTAGAAGAGGTTACTCTTATTACTCCTAGAGATAAGT